CAGACAGGTCTTCTGCTACCTGCCCGGTTGCTATAGAGTATATTTCCGCTGTTGCTGTGGGCGCGGCCTGGCTGGGGCTGCTCCAAAATGGTGGAGCCCCATTGGAGGGGGAGCGGCCAGGTGGCTATTTATATCCCTAATGGGCCTCTGTGCTCCCTGTTGCCCAGGGGGTTAGAGTGCCCAGAGATCCCCAGATTCCCTGCCTCTGGTCTAAGTGTCCTGTCCTGCCTCTTTAAGACTTCCAAAAAGCACTCTCCAAACCAAAACAACTACAGCAGGAACGAAAGAGGGGGGAAAAAAAGGGAAAAACATGTGATTTTCTTTGTCCTCAGGCTTCGGTCTAAGGCACCCGCTCACCGGTCTTGCTGCGCTGTTTCACTAGTATTGGGGTCCCTGTCCTTTTAAGGCTTCCAAAAAGCACTCGCCAAGAAAAAATAAATACCGCTCCCGTTTCTTTCCCCCCACCGGTAGCCAGGGGGAGGGACACTCGGGTCCCGCCGGGTCGGCGCTTGTATCTTATCCCCTTCACGAGGCGCTGGGCTCTCGCCGGTGTGGATGTGGTCTGGATGTTGTCCTGTGTCCGCTGGTCTCTATTTTAGGAAGTGTTGTCTTTGTTATATTTTCATAGATATATGTGGTTTTGGGAGGAGATTTCCACTGCTCTACTCACGCCGCCTTCCTGGCTCTGCCTCTAACAGATTGCTTTTTAAAATGCAGACTCAGAGTTTCTGGTTCAACAAGTTATTAGGCAATACTCTGGCAGGGGACTACACTTTGAAAACCAGTGATTCATAGTGACATCCCCCAAAGCTGAAGCATCTGGAGGTTATGAAAATAAACAGAAGTATAGCTGCTGCTTCTTATAAATTTATATTTTTAAGAGTATTTATTTTATAAAATAAAAATTTTATCCAACAAAAGAAAAAGATTTATTTGTGCAGGCATCTGCAGTCTTTGTAAAGCAGCACTTCTCAAACTTTATTGTGCATTTGATTCACTGTGGATTTGTTAAAGTGAAGGTTCGGATTCAGCAGTTGGGGGAACCTGAGGTCTGCTCTTAGAATAAGCTCCCAGGTCAGGTAAGGTCATGAGGAGCAGGGTTCCAAAAGAGAGGAAGCACAGTTCTGTGCTGTGGTGTAGGTAACATATGTTGAAAGTAGTAGAGGTAGACTGATAGTGCTTGGAATCTGGGACCATGGAAAAAATTCAGAGAAAGCTTTTTGGTTCAGCTGATGAGTGGTTTTCAGAAAGTGAAAGAGTTTTGCTTCTTTAGGTCATCGGGGAGTATGGAGTGGACTTGGATAAGCACAGCTTTGATGAAAGTTTTCTCATTTTCATAATCTAAAATTCACATTTCTAAAACTAAGAAGTAGGAAGAGTAAGGATGTTTCAATATCAGTGCTGTTTTTCTGTTGACATATGTAAAGCATCTAAGTAATGAATATTCTGGCCTTCTTTAGGAGTGAGTTGCAAAATAATCATTGGCTTGTTCAGTTAGCAAACAAGTTGAATTTCACTGTCAAAAACACCAGTACCCGTGGTGGCCCATGATAGCATCTGTGATCTTTACACACTCTGCTGCCTCTTCAATAGTATGAACTATCTTTCCATGTTTTGTAAATACTTTCCCAAAACAAAATCTAAAATGGCTACCTGTTCTTCTGCTCGATATCTCTGAGGGATTTGTTGGAACATTTGGTCAAGGTGTATTCTGAGATATTGAGGTAATGTGCTTTAGAATACTCACCAGACTTCCTCTGGATTAACTCGTTAACACATTCCCTTACATTTTTTCATAGCTCTTGACAAAAGATTTCCACTTTCTATAATTGACTTAATGAAGATAAATGTTGTAGGCCTCAACTTTACAACCTAGGTTTTGAACTTTATTTCTTACTCCCATCACAAATGTAATGCCTTTTATACGTTTTGTATTGGTAATGAAAATGATGTTGGAAATTACACAGAATAATGAGCTCTCTCTGGGTAAATGAGAATCATCACCATGCTCCATGGAATTTATTTTAAATGCATTCATTTCAGAAAAGAGAACTGCCATTCAACATTAATAAAATAAGTACTTAAAGGCAAACAAATGAGACCTGCTAATATAATAGTAAATGCAGAAATTGATGAAACATCAAAAATATTTTGTCATAAATGGTTGTATGTATAGTAAACATGTCATTCCTAAAGTTTACATCTTAGAACTCAGCATTTAAAAACATTTAAAATCTAAACTAATTTCAATTTAACACTGGTCAGATAATCTTGATGTCTTATTGAAAAACCTGAAAATAAACACATTTGAATTAAAGATCACAAGCCAAATTCATTTACTACATTCAAAACCAGCTTATAGTGTGACACTAGAAAAAGAACTCTATTCTTCAACATCTGAGCATGAGTACAAATAAAAACACCAGTACCCGTGGTGGCCCATGATAGCATCTGTGATCTTTACACACTCTGCTGCCTCTTCAATAGTATGAACTATCTTTCCATGTTTTGTAAATACTTTCCCAAAACAAAATCTAAAATGGCTACCTGTTCTTCTGCTCGATATCTCTGAGGGATTTGTTGGAACATTTGGTCAAGGTGTATTCTGAGATATTGAGGTAATGTGCTTTAGAATACTCACCAGACTTCCTCTGGATTAACTCGTTAACACATTCCCTTACATTTTTTCATAGCTCTTGACAAAAGATTTCCACTTTCTATAATTGACTTAATGAAGATAAATGTTGTAGGCCTCAACTTTACAACCTAGGTTTTGAACTTTATTTCTTACTCCCATCACAAATGTAATGCCTTTTATACGTTTTGTATTGGTAATGAAAATGATGTTGGAAATTACACAGAATAATGAGCTCTCTCTGGGTAAATGAGAATCATCACCATGCTCCATGGAATTTATTTTAAATGCATTCATTTCAGAAAAGAGAACTGCCATTCAACATTAATAAAATAAGTACTTAAAGGCAAACAAATGAGACCTGCTAATATAATAGTAAATGCAGAAATTGATGAAACATCAAAAATATTTTGTCATAAATGGTTGTATGTATAGTAAACATGTCATTCCTAAAGTTTACATCTTAGAACTCAGCATTTAAAAACATTTAAAATCTAAACTAATTTCAATTTAACACTGGCCAGATAATCTTGATGTCTTATTGAAAAACCTGAAAATAAACACATTTGAATTAAAGATCACAAGCCAAATTCATTTACTACATTCAAAACCAGCTTATAGTGTGACACTAGAAAAAGAACTCTATTCTTCAACATCTGAGCATGAGTACAAATTCAACTCTATTATGTCTAGTCTCTTCTGCATGGATATTTTCTATTAATGAATAAGAAAATATAAAAAATGTAAATGCTCACTCCGATCTTTTTCTGTCATACAGAAAGCCACTGCACAAAGTCATTCAAATGGCCTAACTTTGTAACTCTTATAAGCTATAATTATTTTCAGAGACAGGGTTTAATATATACAGAAAATCAGATAAAAATGAATATGCCTGTAAGAGAGCATATTAGAGGAAATTTTTATGTGTATTTATGGGTCTGACAGCATTGGAGTGATGCAGATCCAGAATATATTTCACTTTGTGAAGGTCTTAATGTGACTTTCATAAAGTGCTTTGCAATCTTAGGCTAGAAGAAATGACAGATTATACTGAAATTTAAAATGTTGGATAGGAGGCCCTTCAAGAGTGAAGTAAGAGTATGTCTTTCCAGAGCCTTGGTTGCATTACAAAACTCCCTCCTCTTTCCTGGATAGAGGAATTATGAGTGTGCCTACACAGTTACCATTTTAAAACTGTTACAAGTATGAAAGCAAATAAGAATTTTATTCTTCTTTAACTATATAAACTCAACAAGTTTGCCTTAGAGTTTAGCATAAAAGAATCTTGGTTTTTATATTATTTATTATATTAATCTCAAAAGGAATAGGTCTCTTCAGAGTTACTTGCAGAGTCTAAGGGCTCTCTAAAACAGCCTCACTGTATGACTTTTCATTTCAGAAGTTGTACATCTAAATAGATAAAGAAGATAATCTCAACACAATGGTATGGTTTACCTGTGCCACTGGTCGACGTCAGCCTTGGATGGTAACCTCCAGATTATTTTGGGCTTGGTTTCCCCAATGGCTAAGCATTTCAGTAGTAATTTGTCCCCAAAATTCACCTCAGTCCACTTCTGGGATGCAGATTCTATCCTGGGGATGGTCTCTTGCTTTTCTAATGTAAGAATTACCACTCTTCTCTCTGAGCCAGTGGAGCTGGTAGCAATGCATTCATAAGTGCTCCTGTCTGAAGAAACTACATTTCTTACATCCAGTGTCCCATTTGAAAATAAGAACAACTTGGAATTGATCAACTGTAATGGTGTCACTGGTGCCATCAGTGAGGACCCAGTGGACACTAGGCTGAGGAGTTCCTTTTGCAGTACAAGGCAGTTTCAAACTTTCACCCCACATCCCTGCAATGACTTCCCTCTTTTGTTCTACAATGACAGGTGGGGCTGCAATGACTTGAAGTTTAACCAGCAGTGAGTCCTAGCCAGCTGAGTTGTTGGCAATGCATTTGTAAAAGCCCCTGTCGTAGATGCTGAGACTGTGAATGGCCAGCATTCCGTCAGATTTCACCAGGGCCTGCCTTTTCCCCTCAGAGGATTCTGAGACCGCTGTTTGGTTTGCAAGAATCCAATAAATCATAGGGCTTGGTCTACCTTCAGCACTGCACTTCAATTCTACAGTGCTTCCAGAATGGACTATGATCTCTTTGTTACGTCTCTCCAGGATCCTGGGAGGATAGGAAACCATAGACAAGGTGACGTGAAGGTGGTCTGTGCCCAGGGCATTGGAAGCAGAGCACAGGTACTGTCCACGGTCCTGAATGTCCACCTCCTTTATGGCCAGAGTGCCATTCAGGAGCACCTGGAACCTGCTGTTCTCTTTCCTTTTAGACAAATGAAATCCTGGTAAGAAAGGAATTTATAGCAATAGGTCATCAAAGTTTAGATAGGAGACATAAATTGTTCAAGTGGAAGTCTCAAGAGGAAAGCCATCTTTTTGTTAGGCTCCTGAGAACAAATATATTTAAAGTTATGATGCCTGTTCTTCAGATTGCTAAAATTATTCCTGGAATTTCTTATCACCATAATTTTAATTTAAAAGCCAGATGTCCCAATTCAATACCCATTCTCTCTTTTTCATATCACATTTCTTTGGATCCACTTTCAAATATTTTTTTAAACATTCCTAATTAACATGTTTTAAAACCTTTTAATGAGCAAAAAAGCTGCACAGCAAAAATGTCAAATGAGGACATTAATAGTTTCTGTATCTTAGAGAAATTTGAAACGGGTTGATTCCAGTTAGGCTGAGGAGTTCCTTTTGCAGTACAAGGCAGTTTCAAACTTTCACCCCACATCCCTGCAATGACTTCCCTCTTTTGTTCTACAATGACAGGTGGGGCTGCAATGACTTGAAGTTTAACCAGCAGTGAGTCCTAGCCAGCTGAGTTGTTGGCTATTCATTTGTAAAAGCCCCTGTCGTAGATGCTGAGACTGTGAATGGCCAGCATTCCGTCAGATTTCACCAGGGCCTGCCTTTTCCCCTCAGAGGATTCTGAGACCGCTGTTTGGTTTGCAAGAATCCAATAAATCATAGGGCTTGGTCTACCTTCAGCACTGCACTTCAATTCTACAGTGCTTCCAGAATGGACTATGATCTCTTTGTTACGTCTCTCCAGGATCCTGGGAGGATAGGAAACCATAGACAAGGTGACGTGAAGGTGGTCTGTGCCCAGGGCATTGGAAGCAGAGCACAGGTACTGTCCACGGTCCTGAATGTCCACCTCCTTTATGGCCAGAGTGCCATTCAGGAGCACCTGGAACCTGCTGTTCTCTTTCCTTTTAGACAAATGAAATCCTGGTAAGAAAGGAATTTATAGCAATAGGTCATCAAAGTTTAGATAGGAGACATAAATTGTTCAAGTGGAAGTCTCAAGAGGAAAGCCATCTTTTTGTTAGGCTCCTGAGAACAAATATATTTAAAGTTATGATGCCTGTTCTTCAGATTGCTAAAATTATTCCTGGAATTTCTTATCACCATAATTTTAATTTAAAAGCCAGATGTCCCAATTCAATACCCATTCTCTCTTTTTCATATCACATTTCTTTGGATCCACTTTCAAATATTTTTTAAACATTCCTAATTAACATGTTTTAAAACCTTTTAATGAGCAAAAAAGCTGCACAGCAAAAATGTCAAATGAGGACATTAATAGTTTCTGTATCTTAGAGAAATTTGAAACGGGTTGATTCCAGAAACAGCATAATCTTTTCCTTGTTTTATAACCAAAGAAGACTAAGTTTAAAGAAACAATTTCAAATACCTGATGAGAGTCTGGTCCAGTGGATGGTGGGGAGGGGATTCCCAACAGCCTCACAAGGAAGAAAGGCAACTGAGTTAGCTGGAACAGTGAAACTTGCTGCTTTTCCTCCAACTATTCTGGGCCTTTCTAATACATTCCTGGACAAAGAGTCACAGGGAAGGAGTTCAGAAGTTGTTATCTGAACTGGTATCTTATCAAAGCGACTTTTCTTTGCAATCTTCCGTATATCCCAGTTTGAAACACGAGTGGTGTCCTCTGGCAAGCCTGGGGTGGGCAACATGCTCACTATTGACTTTTTGCCTTTTTCAGCAATTTCTCGGTATGACTTGTTCCAGAAGTGGTTTTCTGACAAGGAAGAGGGAGTCAATTTAGAACTCTGTGGTTTGACTATTGTTAGTGCTGGCACAGGAGTAGACTGTAAGAGACTGGAATAGAGAAAGTGGTGGTTCCCATTGTGTATTTGGCATTTGGGCGAGCTTTGGAAGGTGTAGCAATCTCTGCCACTAATTCCTGTGGATTAGCATTGTGCCCTGAGGACTCATGGGGCCTGGCCATTATATTTGTCATTATCCTGGAAGAGTAATTTGCCACATTACCCGTAACTGCACTTTGATCGCTCAGAGGCAGGGAGGTGTGGATGGGTGCTGGAGTAGCACAGCTGCTCAGGACGGGTGGCACGGTTGAGTGCCTAGGGATTGTATTTCTAGATGTAGTCTGGTGTGGTCTTCTGGACCAAGTGGTTTCAGAAGCAGTTGTGCTCAAAGTTTGAGTACTCTCTTGGGGTAGTCTCTCACCTGTATCTGTCAGATTAAGTGTTCTTGGATGAAGACCAATTATGCTTGAGATTCCTTTTGTGCTTTCTATGGGAGAATGAGTGAAAACAGAGACACTGGGCTGGGCTGAAGTTTCATGGGAAGTGAGATCAGGAGGTGTCATAGCCCTGGTTGTTCTGAAGCCAGAACTCTGGTTTGGAGAGGTGTTTGGGTCATTCCTGTTCTCCTGAGGCTCCTTTTTCCTTTGGACTTTTCGTGTCCTGGGTCTGATTATTTGGGTTTTACTGATGACAGATACAGGGGCAGGAGAGGGAGTCGTCAGGGTGGCTGTCTGCATTGATATGAAATGTGTACTTGATTCTTTGATTGAGATACTAGGAGGTACAGTGTGAACAGGAGGGAAGAGCAGCTGCTTCACTGGTGGGAGACTGACAGGACTGTGTTGCGGTGAGATCGTGGTGAGTTGCAGCTGATGTTACTGATAGAATCTGCATCACACCTGCTGAGAGTGTTGTGCTAGGGAAGGTGGGGGAAACT